GTGAGCTCCAGAGCAGCCAGGGCTGTCACATACAGAAATAAAACAAAACAAAACATCCCTTAATCATAAAATCACAGTAGATTCGCTTCAATCTCCTGGTAGCACTCACTTCAAATCCCAGCACTCAGGAAGAGAAAGAAGGAAGATCAGAAGTTCAAAGTCACAGTTGGCTCTCCAGCAAGTCTGAGGCCAACCCTGACTATATGAGACAACGTTTCAAAAAATGTCCATTTTAGTTTCCAATGATCAATGGTGGGAAATGCAGAAAACTTTCATGGAAATCGATAAGTTTGCCTAAAGCACGGAATCTAAACAATGGTTGTAGGTTGCACATATGTGCATACACAGGTATGTGCAAAAACTAGAAGCTGAGAATTAGTGATCACTGTAACACTCTTCTGTTAGTCCAATTTCTGTTATACTCAAATACCTAGGACTAGATATTTTCTAAAATCCAGTCTGTTTAGCTCATGATATCAAAAATTCCAGAGCGCAGCACCAGCATCTGTTGAGGGCGATGCCAGTGGCCTGGTCAGAGCCTCATGGCAGATGTCACCATATTGCAAGAACATGGCAGAGAAGAGAACCCAAGCCAGGGACCAGGGAGAGGCCAGTGTTGCTCTTTGTATAATCACCCTCGTTATTTAGAAAGTTGAGGGCAGAATTTCCATCAGCCGAATTATCTCACAGCAGGCCCCATGCCGTAAAGGTTCCACCACCCTCAAACTGGGGCTCAAACCAAACTGGGGCTATGCCTTCAGCATGTGAACCTATGGAGAATAATCCACACCCAACCATAATGCTCCCAGAGTTACCATACCTAAGAAGATGGAGCTGGAAAGACCCAGTGCCAATTTCTAAGCCACTGCCTTCTTAGCTATACAATCTGTGTGACAGTGGCAACGGAGCGGCTCTATAAAATCACATCACTAGTGTGAAAGGAAATTAAAAGAAATTACCTTTTACTTTTGGCACTCTACAATAATTCTAAACCATACTGAAGCAAGGCTACATCTTCATCTAGAAAGTCTGTTGCTTAGAAGCATTGACTATATAAAACTACATATATAGACAGACATATATACATATTATGTATACACATGTGAAAAAAAAATATATATATATTACATATGTACATGTTAACACTAAAACCATCTAAATCATCACCCCAATGGACCAACGCCAACACATGAATTTAAACCACTCAAACCTTCCTGTATTTTAGATTACGAATTAGGGCAGAAGGCAAGTGTTAACTTCATCAATAGCAGACTCAGTGCATCCTCTGATGGAGCATGGTTGCTTTCTATACACCATCCCAGGACTGCAGGAGCTCTCCACACCAGGAAGGAGCTCTCCACAGATGGTGCTCACAAAACAGCACTGTTTCTTCCTTGTTGTTTCATCTCTCACTGGACTACGAGTACTTGAGAACACAAACTGTATGCTATTAATTTTGAGTTCTCATTACCTAAAACAATACCTAGACTATAAGGACAGTCAAAGAATAACTGGATGAATATTTATTAAAAAAACAAAAGTACATGTTTTCAAAACTTTTTTAAAATGATACAAATTGACAAATAGGAAAAAAGCCTCTTTCACCTAGGTATTCTAGAAAGTTTTTAAATGATGTTCACAAAGAGATACAGAGGATGAACGCTTAGTATTTATCTTTATCCACTATGTTAACAACATACTGTCTCTACCAATAATGGGAAAAACAAAACTCCGCACAATGATTTTCTAACACATATATCCCTTAATTTATCCTCTTGAATTGAAGACACTACTAAGAATTCAATTATAACTGTTTCAAATTAGTAATTAATATCTGTAAACATTTTGATAACACATTGTATTTATAATCAAATACATGGTTTAAAAATCCAGAGTTGCTTTTTAAAAAACTCTAAAATATAATCAACTTCAGTGTAATGTGCTAAGAATTATGTGTGATATTAACAGTTCCCAGCTGTCTTCCAGGGGTTTGAAGCAATAATGTGAATTTCTCTCAAAAAGCCTATAGTTTAATTTTTTCAGGAAAATAAGTTTAATGGGATTACTGACCCTCTTAACACTCTTCTAAAGAAAATAAATCCCATAAGCATTCTGGCATATAACTACTATAAATATAAATAGAACAGTCAATCAGTGAACACAGTAATGGACTTGAGAACTTGAACCTACTGAGGAAATGTGCCTCAGTCTGCCTGGTGATGACCACATTGGCAGAAAGACTCAAGCAAAAAAACCAAACACACTGAGGGGCCTAGAAACAAGATGGGGAGATTGAAACTTTGAGAAAACAGCCTAATTTCTTAGCACATCAGCCTGGATCAACTATCAGGCTGTCACTCAATTCTGAGCCACATCCCTGAGTACTGTTTGTTCTTTCAGAAGGTATTTAAATGTTTCAAGGGGGAAAGGACAATTACTGACTTAAGACATATTTTTGTACATACAACCCTTTGTGCTTTAAGAGGAATTTTTTCAGGTCATTAGTTTATAATGTGAACAGGCGCCTAGGGATATTTAGAAAAGAAAAAGCAGCTAGTATGCTTGGAGCTGCAGTTTATGCGGCTCACATCATCATTTATTTCAACTCAATTTGGGGCCCCATGCTGAACTCAAAAGGAAGTCACCGCATTGGAGGCAGACCAAGTCAGAATTTGAAAACAGACTAGATAAGGAGCCTGCTAATGCTAAGGTTTTACGTGGTACCAAAATAAAATCAGCTACATAATGTCTAAAGTAATATAGATCCAAAAATTCATTAATTCTTCCAGTTTTACCTTTATTTGGACCATCTTGTGCCAGCCATTCATACTGCCATGTTTGGGTCCAGAAAGCAAGAACTAAACCATTAGGCTCAGGAGAAGCAAAGCAACTTCCTAAACCCAAGTTTATTAATAAACTAAAGGTTATTCTGACATGATCTGCATATCATAACAGTACATTCATCACCATAGTTTCCAAATAATCAATAGTCCTAAATTCTCCACTCCCCTTAAGTATAAATAAAACTCACAGAATACATGTTTTACGTGTAAACAAAATATATAATGATATTATTCTCTGACTATGAGAGAAATATGACTCAATACGACATTGAGATTCCAATACTGTCAGAATTGACAGTATTTTTTAACATAATATTTTTATTGATTATTTGGGAATTTCACATAATGCACCCCAATCACCTTTACTTCCCAGTTCTTCCAGGTCCAACCACACACCCTTGTGGCTTCCACACACACACACAAAGATCAAAAAAAAGTCTAATTTGTGTTGTCCATCTAGTCACTGGAGCATCATCAAACTCCCAGGGGCCAGCCCCTTAAAGAAAGGTGAGAGTCCTTCGCCACTCCCACACCTGCCAGTAGCCATCTATTGTGTAGAGCTAGTATACTTCAGCATCTTTAGCACAGTTTTTAAGGGTTCTCTTCAATGGCTTCCTGTCTAGGTTGTTACTTTTTGGGGGGAAGGGGGTAGCCTTCTATGTCTCTTTCTCTCATCTGTGGATCTGCAGTCATCAAAAGCACTGCAGAAGCTCCCTTGTGCTTTACAGGCAGCAAGCATGGGGCATGGATTTTCATGTGGTATCTGGTGACAGCATGGAGCATGGACATCCACCTGGCCTCTGGCATCAGCACATGCCATGAACCTCAGCGTGGTCTCTGATGGCAGGCAGTACTGGTCATAGACACCAACTCAGCCTCAGCTGCAGCAGGACTACAGACCCAGACATGGTCCCTGGCAGCAGCACAGACCGCAGACCGCCCAAGGACACCAGAACAGGGACAAAGTACAGTCCACCCACATCAACATGGGCCTCCAGCCATAGCTCAGGCCTCAGACATCAACATGGTTCAGCTTCTGGAGAGAGCCTGAAAGGACTTCAAATTTTGGACTTTTTTCAGATTTGAGAATATTCTCATATATATAGTGAGATTGGGAGGGGGAAAGAACCCAAACGAAAACTTGAAATCCATTTATGATTTATATACTTTAGCCTGAAGGTAATTTCACACAGTACTTCCCAATACATGCGTATTTTTAGTATAACAACACATGAGGTCAGATGTGGCCTTTTCTATTTGTGGAATCATGAGTTCTGAAGAATTTCAGGTTTCAGATTTTTAAATTAGGAGGACACAACCTGTACCTTAAACAATCAAACAAAAATGTCAGAGCCCCTTTCCCTCTATTAGAATTACCTTGCCTTTTCATTTGTTTTGAACACAAGTCACAACTTTAAATCAAATAAGGTTTACTATTATAAAGGACATGGCCTTCTAGATATGAAACTCCCTATTTCATCCTTGTATATACATTAAAATCAGCATCGCAGATGAGCTGCATAGTGGGCTCTGTAACAAGGGTCCAAAAGCCCCTCAGAGGAGTCTATGGAAACCTGATGACCTTATATAGATTTCAAAGGTATACTGATGCCCAGAAAGGGCCAACGTTGAAAGCAAGTCAAAACATCTGAAAACAGAACCTACAATGAATACAACTCCAATGTCCATGAGGGAACAAGGTGGGCACACTTTCCGATGGAACAAAGGCCCTTCAAGGGAGGCACATGAGTGAACAAGGTGGGCACACCATGATCAGTCCCACTTCCTAGTAACTACCCCTACCAAAGTCAAATATCTGGTAAATGAAATCACACCAAAACCCAAATGTGTAGCATATCTTAGTGTTAAATGTGCTTTTAACAACCTCTGTTCTGCATTTACAGTTCTTAAAAATAAAATGAAATAGCTAAATAATTTCTTAGCTCATTTGTAGTTAGCAAGTGTCTCTGACTCTGCAACACAACTCTTGAATACATAAAGACAGGTGTTTATACCTATCAGTCACAAATTCTCTAGTAAGAACTATGTGCTCTGAGGAATTGAATGAGCCCATCAGTCTTCTGAAAAGCTACCAAAGGCATAGACTTAATAAGTTATTTATCTGTTGCTGTAAAAAAGTTTACTTCAATAGTTTACCTTTTGAAAGATAAGTAAAAGTGCTCAGAAATTCTTCATATGTTTGCTCATGACAATTGACAAACTTATCCAAGACTTCTTTCATTAGCTGATCTTCGTCCATTATCTCTGGTCTCGGTATTTGGGCAGGCATTCCTACTCACGAAGCCACTCTATAAGACAAAGATAAACAGAAGCTAAGGAGTAAGGCAGCCTCAGCAACATGATGGAGGGCTAGTGAAGAAATTTGGGGCCCCAAAAGACAGGTAAAGCTCACTGCCGAGCAGTAGACTCCAGCGCAAGAGGTTTCAGCAATCTGTGCTGCTCAACTGATAACTGTACCCATTTAGGTTTAGATTTCAGCTTTCTCATTATATGATTAAGTCACAAGAATAATGTCATGTGATTCAGCTAGAAACTAAAACTCCCCTCATGTGAGGAGAATCTCAGGAGGACATCTACTAACCACCAGCACCCCACACAGTGGCAACAGCAATAGGAGCTGGTGTGGAGAAGTAACTTAGTTCTGACTGTGTACCAGGTCCCATTCTGAGTGCTCCAGGGTCAGCTTTCACAGCCCCAGGTGAGTTCACAGAGCCAAACATGCCTGCCTAATCCCTGAATCCAAGCCCTTAAAACAGTACGTAGTGCCTCCATCTTCTGTGACCATACCAGTACCATGGCTAAAAAGAAGGTCATTACAACACAGGAATGTGCAAGGTAAAAGATGTTCTTAACTATCCCCTGACCCCACTAATTCCACCCATAAACTCTGTCAGGAGTCTAGCAAATACATTTCTAGATCTTTCTCTATAGTGTTTATGGTGCTAGACATTTTTATTAAAACAGGGAAATATATGCTATTCTTTACAAGTAGAGTTAATTTTTGAGCTAAAGAATAGGTTTTTAATATAACAAGATCCATCACATTCCACCACATTAAGAAGTAGAAATCTAGCTTATTTCAAGCAGCTACACAGTCACAGTCCAGTTCTGCTCCTTGTATATTAATTACATTTGGGAAAGCTACATGACATCTATGAACCTCAGTTCCTTTTTATCTAGAAAACAGCACAGTAATGGCTCAGCTTTCTTTCCTAAACTTCATTTCTAAATATCAAATGCTAAGGGGGGTGGATTATTCTCTTTTTTTATTTTTTTATTAATTACACTTTATTCATTTTGTATCCCCCCATAAGCCCCTTTCTCCTCCCCTCCCAGTCCCCCCTCCTGGTCCCCCCTCCCCCCTTTCTGCATGCATGCCCCCTCCCCAAGTCCACTGATAGGGGAGGTCCTCCTCTCCTTCCTTCTGATCTTAGTCTATCAGATCTCATCAGGAGTGGCTGCATTGTCATCTTCTGTGGCCTGGTAAGGCTGCTCCCCCCTCAGGGGGAGGTGATCAAAGAGCAGGCCAATCAGATCATGTCAGAGGCAGTCCCTCTTCCCATTACTATGTAACCTACTTGGACACTAAACTGTCATGAGCTACTTCCATGCAGGGGTTCTAGGTTATCTCCATGCCTGGTACTTGGAGTATGAGTCTTTGGAAAGATCCCTGTGTTCAAATTTTCTGGTTCTGTTGCTCTCCTTCTGGGGTTCCTGTCCTCTCCAGATCTTATTTCCCACTTCTTACATAAGATTCCATGCACACTGCCCAACAGTTGGCCATAAGTCTCAGCATCTGCTTTGATAGTCTGCAGGGCAAAGCCTTTCAGAGGCCCTCTTTGGAGGGTTTCTAGCTTGTTTCCTGTTTTCTTCTTCTTCTGATGTCCTTCCTCTTTGCCTTTCGGGATGGAGATTGAGCATCCTCTCTCTTGATTAGTTTCTTTAGATGTACAGATTTTAGTAGGTTTATCCTATATTACATGTCTGTTTGAGTGAGTATATACCATGTGTGTCTTTCTGCTTCTGAGACAGCTCACTCAGGATGATCCTTTCCAGGTCCCACCATTTACCTGCAAATTTCATGATTTCCTTATTTTTCATTGCAGAGTAGTACTCCATTGTGTAGATGTACCACAATTTCTGCATCCATTCTTCAGTTGAGGGGCATCTGGGCTGTTTCCAGCTTCTGGCTATTACAAATAAAGCTGCTACAAACATGGTTGAGCAAATGTTCTTATTGTGTACTTGAGAATCTTTTGGATATATGCCTAGGAGTGGTATGGCTGGATCTTAAAGAAGCGCTATTCCTAGTTGTCTGAGAAAGCGCCAGATTGCTTTCCAGAGTGGTTGTACAAGTTTACATTCCCACCAGCAGTGGAGAAGGGTTCCCCTTTCTCCACAACCTCTCCAGCATGTGTTGTCACTCGAGTTTTTCATCTTGGCCATTCTAATGGGTATAAGGGGGAGTATTCTCTTAAGATGATGTTCAAACTCATTTACTAACAAACCTGAAGTGACATGAGAGCATTTCTTCTACCCAGTTTGACTGGTCATGGTTCCTTAAAAAAAAAAAAAAATGAGCTTGTATATGATGTGCCTTCTCAGCCCAACTAGAGTACTAGTCAATACATGCCATTTGTACTGCCTACCTTACTAAAATCCAAAATATTATGAAATATTATGTGAACCCATGGATTTTACAAAACCATGAAGCTATTTGAAGTTCATGAGACTGCTCTGAGGATGAAATGTACATCTACCTTGGAAATGTAGCCTTCCTGGCGATTATGAGGAAGAAGATGGCAGAGAATTACTTTGACTGTGACCACTCTGGCTTTTATATATACTGATGCTACCCACAAAATTGCACCTTGTACATTCCAACCCCACAAGAACCACAATGCTAAGAGGACCAAATGAAAATTATGGTTTAGGTGTTGACTTCAAATGAAAGGCAATGTTTCAAGCTACGTGTACCTGAAAAACTGAATGCATGAAAAGTCATCACTTACAACAAATTCATCTGTACCAACGCCCTGGCTTCAGCAATGTAAAGCTGATTAAAGTATGCTTGCAGCTGATAGATAATGAATACCAACAAAGAATCTCATCAGTGACTATTATTTCACTATCAGTAGGACATACATGAAAACAAAGAATCCCAGCATCTGTCTACTTTTCAAGAATTAGAACACAGAATAATACCAACAGTCTCTTCCTCAACGCATTCACCTGGTCCACTCCAGTGCATCAGAATGGCCAGGATGTTCCTAAATGTCTTCTCACAGTTATGTTTAAAAAACAGTCATAGATGTTCCTTTAGGGTTCCTTTCCAAAGCTCTCATTGATATATATTTTAATATTTACCCTCAATATACCTCAGTACTACCAAAGGCAAATAATTAACAGGCTATATACAGCATAGAGGTAAAAAAAAATACGCTGAGGCTTCTCATTCTACTTCTGTGTTTCTGACAGCACCGGCATGTATTGGCTTTTTTAAGACTTTCACAGTCAACGGTTGAAGAATCTAAGGAGCACCCATCATCTAATTAGACCTTTCTTTACCTAGAAAAGCATTAGGAACTTCATGTTAAAGGTCCCCAGAGGCTGACAAAGCAGATTGCCCTTTACCAGACAGTCTGGTGGTTTATGCAAATGCCAGTGGTTTTCTAGATGGATGCATGCTTTTCATTTACCACCCACATGCTAGTGTACTTTTATCATGAAATATTTTTTTTTAAAAAAGAGAGAGAAAGAGACAGAGAGAGGCTTTCCTAGATAACAAGATTAAAGATGCTTGGGGAGGGGGGAGCTTGGGTTTTTTTTTTTTTTTTATGCTTTGAGCACCACATGAAAAGCATAGAACACAATGATAAGTAACAGCATATAAATAGTTAGTGGTAAATTATAAGCAATACTTTCAACTAAGCCTTGGAAAAGAAATAGAATATGGATGGCTTTCCTCTGACTACTAATGTCTCGTGGAAACTATGGTTCCCACGACTCTTCTTCCCTCCCTCTGAGAAACAGGGGAGGTAAATCCCATTACCTCCTAGAAGTCCTCTTGCATATGATCATGTAATGAAGCCAACAATCATCCAAAAAGTAAGTGTTGTATACACTAAAATGCATGCTGCAATGAAATGGGGAATGTGATGTCATCACCACTGACCTAGCACACTGTCAGTGTCTACCATCAGATTCTTTTTTTTTTTTAGTTACATTTTATTAACTTTGTATCCCAGATGTATCCTGCTCCCTCATTCCCTCCCAATCCCACCCTCCCTCCCTCATCTTCTCCCTGCCCATTTCCAAGTCCACTGATAAGGGGAGGACCTCCTCCCCTTTCAGCTGACCCTGTTTTATCAGGTATCTTCAGGACTGGCTACAAAGTCCTCCTCTGTGACCTAGCAGAGGTGCTCCTCCCTTGGGGAGTAGGGAGGTCAAAGAGCCCACCATTGAGTTCATGTCAGAAATAGTCCCTGTTCCCCTTACTAGGGAACACACTTGGATACTGAGCTACCATGGGCTACATCCAAGCAGAGGTTCTAGGTTATATCCATACATATCATCAGATTCTTGTGTAACGAACTCACCCAAACAAAATGCAAGACAAGGGTTGTAAATGTTACATACATGCCCTATGAACTTCTCTCCCAGTCTACTGCCTGCTTTCTTAACACAGAGGGTTGTATGTCTGCAAAATGTTTTTTAAGCCCACCCTGTGTCCTATTACAACTTAAAAATAATAAATTTCTGAAGAGCCATACGAGGTTTCTCAGAGCCCAGCTTCTTTGTGTTCTGGCTCTGGGAAGGAAGGATCCATGGAAGGAGAGGACTCAGCAGCCATGTAATTGACTTTGCCTAAGGAAACAGAGCTATTAACCTTGGTACTTCACAGGGTAGCTGTCCTTTCATACTTGAATAAACAGTCTAGTCTCCAAAACTGAACTGTACTGCAACCAATCATGTGACTGTTCCATAAGGCAGAAAAGTCCAGGTGTGAAGAGGCCCTTCTTGGCTGAACTGCAAAAACTGCCCTTTACCCCTATGTTTCCAATGTCTTTTACAGTGGACCAAGAAGAGAGGCAGAAGCTGGGATTCTCTGGGCTGGAGAGGTGGCTCAGTAGTTAAGAACACAAACTGCTCTTCCAAAGGATCTGAGTTCATTTCTCCTATACCAGGCATCTCACAACTACCTGTAACTCTAATCCCAGAGGATCCAATAACCTCTTCTGGCCTCTGTTAGCACTGAAATCACAAACACATGCATACCCACACAAGGACAGTCATAGATACACATTTAAAAAGAGGGAGCTAAGAATTTTGGACTCTCATAGCTTAATGCCACCTGGGTCGTATCTAGTACAAGTGAATGAACATGAAAAACATGGAAAAACAACTTCACCTGCAGTCACTGAGAAGCTGTCACAAATGATTTATGGTGTAAACCATAAAGAGATGCTTATGGTCATGAACACAAAGAAACAAACAGGAACATACTAAAAAAGAATGGAACTAGTGGAGGAAAAATGAGGCTATTACTCTGAGGGAGAGTAGACAGGGACATATGAGCAGGTTTAAAGGGAGGAAAGGGAAGGGAGAAATATTGTAATTATAATCTAAAAGAGAGGTCATCAACTTCTGTATGAGAGGGAAAATAAAACATGATGTGTTCAGATCAGAAAACTACACAGGAGTGAAAGAGATTGGTTCTCTTCTAACCATATAGTACAGCTGAAATCATTCTTGACTCTGATGCATGATTATCTCCCAGGAGGAATAAAACAAAACAAAAACAACAGAACTAATGTTGGATGAGTGTAATCATGCCTTCAACTACAATCCAGACCATTTAAATTCAATACACCTAGGGAATGAGTACGTAAGTACACTTTTATCTCTAGACATGTAAATACACACAGGAAAATAAAAAGAGATCAGAGGTGAGCAGAAATATAAAACAAAACATAGTTCATACAGTAGAAAAGAACCTGCAGTCCTCTACTGTTCTTTCATCAAGATGAGATAAAAGTAGACAACTCCAGCATCAAAAGATATACCACACTTCCAGCTGCAAACTTCTAGTGACATGCCTTTGCAACACATGAAAGCCAAAGAATGCTTCATTAATACCCAAAGGCTGAGAGTATAACCATCTGGACCTCTATCCCCTAGACACAAGCCTCTGCAGTGAATATTAAAGGAAGCATTGGGAGGAAGGTAGAAAAGGCTTTGGGATTGCTGTTGTCCTCACATTTTCAAAAGAGAGATGTACTGTCTTCCAGACACAAGTCTTAGAAGTAGGTGTATCTTAACTACCATCCACTTTACTTGACAAACATATCATCTTACAGAGGAGGAAGAGAGCGCACGCAAACTAAAGACTGCACACAGTGTAAAAAGTGTGGACTCGGTGAGTGTTTGACATGACTGTAGATATCACAATGGCTGCTTTGACAAACACACATCTGGTTCCTCCCTGAAGATGTTTACATTTTTCTCATTTATTAAGTATTCTTATTCTATACAAGACCCCACCTTTCTAACAGGGATTACTATGAAGAAGCATTCCATGACGATTTTAAAATTACAATAACAAGAAATTGAGTGAAAGAATGCTAAAAATAAAGGAAGAAATAGAAATAAGAATCATGGATTAAGGCAAAATAGTATATGTTATAGAGAAAATAGAAAATCTTCAGGTCATATGATGAGGCAAAGAGTAATTCTTGGATTTGAACCCAAAAGCATGATTCACAAGAGAGAAAAAAAATTGACTCACTCCATTAAAAGCAAAAAGTTTCCTTCTGGAAAGATCTATTAAGATGCTAAGAAAAACTGAAAGAAAATATTAACAAATCACATATTCAACCAAAGAGCAACATCTGGAACGTGCAAATCTCTCACAAAAGTCAACATTTCATCAACTTCAAAGACAAGAGACATGCATGGGCACTTCAACAAGGAAAAGACATGAAAACCATGAAAAGATGATTGGAATCATAGCTATCAGAAAAAATATAAAAGTATTTTCATAAACAAACTTGTGCACTAATGTTCACTGCAGCTTTATTCATAACACTGAAAGCTACTAAAATATACTTTAACTGGTGGGTAGTTAAACAAACTGTGGTGCATCCACACCAAGGAATATTATTAAGCAATAAGATGCAAACAAGGTGTT